TTTTATCGGTAACGGGAATATTATTCTGTAGATTATTACAAGAGAATAAATAATTAATGCAATAAGAACCTCTTAATTATTCATTTTAAGAAACTCTTTAAAACCAGCNTATTCATTTTAAGAAACTCTTTAAAACCAGCTCCTAAAAATCTCATAGGTTTAATCTCCGAGTATGATTATTTACTCATAAAAGTAATAATGGAATAATTCACAAAATATATTTATAGGAATCATAAATAATCAAAATGCTGCCGTTAAAATCAAATAATTTTCACACGTTGATACACATATTTTGAATTTAATAAAATGTTTGAGGTTTTATTTTAATAGTAAATGGCAATTGAATTTTTGACATAACTTTATTCGTTTGGTAAATACAAAACTCTAAAGTTTTAAATTTTTTAATTTTTGGAGACAGTATATATGTACATATATAATATACGAGGACTACTGGTAGCTAATTGTTTTTTTATGATGTCACAGATACTCAGTATTTATTGTCAATTATGACTTTATTAACAGATATGCTTAAAGTGTAGTCGTTAGACACATTGTTATAAGTTAACATATATAAATACACCAACTGGCAATACAGAAATATATCTGTCAATAATCATAAATGACAATAAACGCTACGTATCTATGATAGCCATATTTAAAAAAAAACAATTAGCTACCAGTAGTCCTTGTATATTACACATGTACGTGTATATTAACTACAAAATTTGAATCTTTAAAGTTTTATATCTAATAAATGAATAAAATTTTGTTAAAAATTCATATGGCATTTACTATTAAAATAAAACTTTAAACATTCTATTAAATTTAATGTTTGGAAAAACAAAGTTTATACCTTTACAAGGCATAAAAGAAGAACTTAAAAAGTATTATATAGCTAATAATCTAAGTTCAAGAATAATATGTAATTAAAGGTATCATAAATATATAAATATTTTTATTCTGTAATTGAGTGGGTGATGATAAAAAATTCACTTTGTAGAGTGATAAATTTTTTATACTGTATTTCGATATTTTAAGCAATACAATTGTAATATTATAAAAACAGAAATTGTAGAGATTGTTTATATCAGACTCCTTAAAATATACTTCCCAAGTTTTACATTATAAACATTTTTTTCCAAGCAAAACATTTTTCATTTAATTTATATATGATATAAATTATCAAGTATAAAAAAACGAAAATATTATAAATTAATCGAGAATTTGTTAAGCAGAACAAATCAATTTTATTTTGAAAATATTTAATTATAGTTACATTCAAGGGGCAAAAGATAGGCAACATAAAATTAATTTTTTTTTTCTAAATAATTTGTTAACGAAATATAAAAACTAATTGTAAATTCTTTCATTGTATTCGTAATTTTAACATTCATAGACATTTTTTACTATTATTTTATTAGAGAATTAACTATATTTTAGACACCTCGAAATATATAACTTCCACAACTCATACTCAATTTTCTGTCATGGATATATTATGAGTTATTTGACACTACGTTATGGTTATGAGATGGTATTGTGATTAAAATAATAACATTATAGGCCTATATTTTAGTATATATTCTTTACAAATTAATAGATTAATTCAACCAATACTGTAGTTATGTAAATCGATTACTGATCGATATTACTGTTCTTATTTGTAAGTTACACATCAGAACAACTGTTTTAAAAATGACGTCAACCATATGGTGCAATATGAAAAATATTTACCTCCCAAAATTATGTTTGTCTCAGAATTACTAATCTAAAGAAATAATCCATAACAATAATAATTTTGACTTTATATTAGTTATTTTACATTATTTCGTAAAAATTTTAACATACAACTTCCTGTAAGATTTATTTTATACGAAAGTAACTTGAGTACTCAGAAAACGTTAATTTATTTGATCATAATAAAAACTATAATAAAATAAATAACACTTAGAATAATTAAAAAGTATACAATTGATTGGATTTAAAGCTTTCGTTACTTAGGTAAAATAAAATTAATTAATCTAGTATTAGTAAATCAGATATAAGATTTTTATATTTAAATTTGGAGAGCATACTCCTTAAAAATATCTCGTATATCGAAATTGGAAAACTTAAATAAATAAAACATATTTTACCAGAATTAAAAAAAACTCTGTTTAATTTTTTTATATTTATTCTAAATCATTTCTGCAAATTGTTATATTTTGTAAATTGTTATTATTTCAATGTCTATTACAATTATCATGATATACATAATAAATTTAATTTTAAGATTGCAATATATTAAAACCAATTAATTAAATTTTCAACTATGTAAAATATACTAATGTTTTTTTATATGATTTGATTGTTATAAGATTTATTATTTTAAAAACAATTTATTAAAAATATTAATTCCTTAGTCTTCTGCCATTTACTTAAACCAATACATTTTTGTAACAAAAACAAAATTATTTTTTAATATTACGTATAAATATTAAAAAAACCAATATTTAGAATTTATTAACTTAAAACTTGTTTATTTGTTTTGAACTGTAATTAATACTATATATACATATTGAAATTGAATATAGAATTGTACTATAAATATTATTTAAAATTATGATAAATCAATAAAATTCTGTTGTAGATCCATAAACTTTCTTCAATGTTTGCTTTAATGACAGTATTTTTATTTTATTCAAAAGGTAATAACATTCAAAAATATAAATTTATATTGTTTTATAATAATTACATAAAAATTGTTTAAAATATTTGAAAAGGAAAATAGATCTATTAATTTATTTTATTAGTTTTTGGGAAACCCCTACATGATCTGCAAAATGGTAAGTCTATAAAACAAAATAGTTTTTATTATTATGTTAGAAATTATAATAGAGATTTTATTATTTATTAATTATATTTAAATAGTTGAGATCAACTTCATAGGGGTTAATAGAGGGAGCTAGAGAGAACTAAGCTCTTTACAACCATTTAGAAAATTATACATATTGTTATATAAAATTATTTTTAGGAAATATTTAAGACCACAAAGAATTTTATATTAGTTGTGCCTATAGTTATATTTACATTTTCATGTATGATTTTTATTTAGCAAGTTGTTCAATATGTCACAATGAACCAGCCACTGTGACATTAATTTCTTGTAGACACAGTACATGTTCTTACAATAAGTTGTATTATTGGTAGGCAAAATATTTACAAAATGAATAACTTTAGTAAGTGTTTAAGTAGAACATTGGGTTTTTCTCAAAAGTTTGTCTTATTGTTTTAATTTGAGAATTAAAATTAAACAAAATAAATTGAATTGTATTCATAGTGTTACTATGAACACAATTTAAGCTTAAATTTCAAACTTAAGCTGTATTAGTAGTGCAGGTATAGAAATAAGCTAACTTCTATACTGTAAGACAATTAAGCTAAGGATTAATAAGAATACATTAAACATATTGAGTTTATACTCATTACATGTCGCGTACATATTTACAACGGTGTAATGAAAATAAAATTGAAAATGAACAATAAATATTATTTAAAGATTTTGAAGCGTTTGTAAAATCGTATTATTGCAGTTCCAATTGAAGCACATTCAAATGATCGTAATTTTTTTGGCTGTTATCCTCTTCCACATTTAAAAAAAATTTTGTTGCAACTTCATTCATTAATTCCGTATAATTCGAATTCTGAAAACTTCCTTAAACAACGACTGGAAGTAATTAAAGGAACAGTAATATCTAATCACGAATTGAGCAAAATACGACATGCCATTCGACAAAGTAATTAACAAAATAATCACTTTTATAATCATATAAATATTTTTAATGTATATATTTACTAAAACTAATGGCCAAGCAGCCAATGTTAAATATATCAATAATAATATATGTATATATATATATATAAATATATATATATATATATTCTTAAATAACAATTTTTATAAATGTATTTCAGTTGAAAAAAAAAAAGGTCCTATCATAGAACTGAATAGGTTGTTTTATGAAGTTCATTTAAAAAATTTAAATCAACGGATCCAAAATGGTATTTCTGATGAAGAGTTGCTCTTAATGTACAATTATCTTATGCCCGGAGAAAATCCCGATGAAGAACTTATACAAAAATTTAAAGATTTAAAAAAAGGCGAATACCCTTCTGCAACACTTAAGGCAATTCGCGATCGCCTAAAAAAAAATGACTATTCAGTTAAAGAAGATATATTTCTGCGATATAAACTCTTCCACCGTTTATTAAAGAAGGAAGAAAAAAATATGTTACTAGATTATTTCTCCCGGAACGGCCTAAACGGCGAAGAAGAATTTTATAGGAGGTATGGTCAGTAAATAAAAAATTAATATAACATTTACTTCAGACATATTTCGAATTTATCTTGACTTTGATGCAAGTGTCAACTTATATACCAAAGTTTAATTAAGACGTTCATTTTCTCAAAGACTATTGAAAACTTTTAATTTTTATAATGAAGAAAAATATTAAATAAATATATACATGTAACAATGTACAATATAAACATGTTTTATAATACAAAAAAATTATTTTGTTATCTTTAATTAATTAATTATAAAATACATGTATAAGCTGAAATTATACTGGTTGTTATGTACAATTATTTTGCAAATGTTAATAGTAACGCAAGAAAATACAGTGTTTTCTAACATAGAAAACAAAAATACACATACAAATTTTATGTTTTTATAGTTATTGTGAACAATATTCAATGATAAATTTACAATTATTACATATTCAAGAATTTTCTAAAAACGTTACGTTTCTATTCAACAAATTAAAAAACCCCGTATTCTCCATAATACTCAGAAATTGACTGAAATTTGAGTAACGAAATTCTGTAACAAAATTTAATGAACTTGAAATGTCAAATAACATTTTATAAATAGTTAAGGTCTAATTACTTTCTGCGTCATACTTCATCAGAATTTTTCCTACATCTACTAATGAATGCTTATAGACCATATTATTTAATCTCGATTGTATATCCCACACTGACACCAATCCTTCATCATCGTTTTCAATTGTATGAAACACCCTATCGATATATTTTTTAGTCTAATAAAATAACATAATTTCATTACAAAAGTTAAAGATTGGTTATTAAAACTTTGTTACGAAAAATACAAACCTCATCTGAAGATTCATTTTTATTCTAAAAATATGTTTTTATAAATTAAATAGGTTTTTAAAATTTTTTTTAATAATAAATATATAACTAATATTATTAATGTAATTTTTTTTTTTTAATTTGTAATTGAATTGCATTTTATCATTTTTTAAAAAGAACCTTAACATTTTTAATGTATTTATTTCGAAATTATAAAATAAACTTTACAATAATTTAACACATTGTAATAGAACAAATAATGAACTTGAAATATTCGTGAGATTATAAAATATATAAACCATTTTACATTTGTCTGAATCTCGAGTTTTTGTGTTTTTAATTTTTTAATCGATAAAATTAAATCTAACAAATAACCTATTTAAAAAAAAATGTTTACGAAAATCATTTATCACTTTCTTTTGATGATATGTTAAAATTTATAAAACGAAATATATTCTAATTAAAGTTACTTAATAAATACGTTATTTACATCTAATTTATGTCTGAATTTAATTATTTACGAATGATACATTTTTAACATTAATAGCATTAATAATTATTCTTATTAAAATTTTTAATGTATGTCAACATTTAATTTAATTTGTTGATTTTTTTTTTTTAATATAAATTATGATTTGATTTATCAAACACATATTTTATTAATCTTTATGCGACAAATTATTTTGGAATTAAATGAGTAGGACAATTTTTAACGACCTCTTACAATAAAAAAAAATATTTTATGTAAATGAGTAAAGTTTAAACAATTTAAATTTTTACTTGAACGTATAAAAAATCGTAAAAAAGGTCTTTTTCCATCATTTTTAAAAATTCTTGAATATTCGAAAAACGATATCCTAAAAATATATATAGTTAAAAGGTTAATCATTTAAACATATAAAATAATTTTCCCTGTAATAATTATAACTGATTAATGATTAGTCAAAATAATTTGAGTATTAATACCCTCGCAGTCAAACATTAATAGGATTTTTCCCACTTCAAGTAATGAGTTTTTGAAGCCTAATTCTTCTAATTTGTTCTGAATATCCCAAACAATACTCAGTCCATCACCTTCTTTTTCAATCATATCATGTGCTCTCTTTATAAGTTTGTTATCTTGTTCATTCTAATAAATATATATGACCAAAAAGGAGTATAAATTAACTTATTAATTACTTGGTTTAATTTTTGTCGCCAAAAATAAAAATAAGGTTTTATTCTTAAACGTGTTAACAAAACAATTGTTTATATTTATTTTACATTATTTATATTTGTATGTAAAAACGTTCACCTCTTTAGAATTTTCAGCGACATCTTTAATTAAAGTATTGCAAATAATAAAAAATGTGAATAATAAAAAATGTAAATAATAAAAAGTAGTTTAAGTGCATCATAATATTGAAAAATTAAAATTTTCAAAAAAAAACCTATTACTATAAAGTATAAAGTATAAAATATTAAAATCCGTTCTTATTTCATTAAGATAAAATTAATTGAATACATTAATCAAGTTCTAACTTGATGTAAAATTACTAATTCATTAAAGCTTTTATTGAAATAAATTTTCGAAAACTGGAAAAATGATTGCAAAATTTTTATTTAAAATACATTTATCTCGCCAACGATATACTTTTTGAAAATTTAATTATTAACGCAGATACTTTGGGTCTAAATGTCATACCGAAATTTATTCTATTAACTTTGAAAATATTCCAAAAATCCTAATTTCTTGAAATCTTCTTCTCTTCTTCTTCGTCCTCGCCTTAAACCCAACTATTTGTGGTCGGCCACCCTTATCCTAAACATCCACTTGACACGATCTCCCACATCAGCTGTCCTCATATCGCATTCAATAGCATCTCTCCATCTCTTTTTTGGTCTTCCTCTACCTCTTCTTCCTTCAACATTCATTTCTATAACTGTTCTTACAGCTTCCGATTCTTCTCTCCTCATAACATGACCAAACCATTTTCTTGAAATCTAATATATATATATAAATATAGCTAATGTAATGTACTTTAAGATGAAAAAATAAATACTATCTAAATTTCGATCTCTAAAAGTTATTAGGTATCAAAGCTAAAAATCATACAATTTCTTTAAAAATAGTCGATTTTGAAATGTTTTGCATCGGAATATCAATGTTTTTTATAAAATTGAAAGTAAAATTTGAAATTATTTCGTATTATGAATTTGATATCATAACCAGTTTCTAAAATATAATACGATAGTTTTTATAAGCTATTTTTAAGGTTATTTATCTGATAATGATGGACTAAAATAACTGACCTTTTCTGACCTAAAACATTTATAATAGGTACGAAAGCCGATAAATAATTATTTTTCGTACCTATTAAATACACTAGGAAATGTTTTACTATAGTGATTTTCACTACTGACAAATATCAATCAATTCTAATTTAAAACATTTCTCAACTCCACTTTGTTGGATGCCTACTGTACTTTGCTTTTTCTTTATTGTTCTTTAAATTTAAAATAATATATTTAAAATACTGAGTTTTTCTAATTATTTCTTAATTGATTTTTTTGAAGTGAAACTTCTTTACAGAGAGTTTGAAAAAAAAAATTATCGAGCATCACAGTCGGCTTAAAAGTATATTTTATATTATAATTTAGCACTGTATTTCCGAATATTAAAGTAAATTTATGTAATTTAACTCATTAAGTAATTTAATTAATTTCATTAATTTCAAATAATTAAATTCAAATAATTTTAATTGTGCATAAAAAAAATTTAAAAAAAACAATAGATTTTCACGCGATATCTTCAAAACGAAAGAAGTTTTACTTCATCCGCGTGTACTTGTAAGACGCAATATTGTTTTTTATCTTGGGCTATAAGTCGTGAATATCAATTTATACTTATATTTAAAATTACAAAGAACAATTTGAAATAAATCAAATATTATTTATTAAGAATTACTTTTAGTTTTAATTGTTTGTAATAGCCTTTTTTCTCTAAATTATTCAAAAAAACTTCAATGCTTGAATAATGTACTCCTGTTAAGTTGAAGAATTAGGTAAATAAAAATATTAAATCAAAATTTAGTAATAATTTTTAGATTTTATCCATTTGAACAACACACATTCTCCTCAATTGCAAATGACTGACAAATTTACCTTCGAATTCAAACTTTGTCAGGATATGTCCTATTTCAATTAACGAATTGTCATATCCTAAACGATTAAGTTTTTTTTTTATATTCCAAATAAGTATCAAACCATTACTATCATTGTCTATGACTGAGTATGTTTTATTAATGTACTGTTCATCCTATAACAAAATATATTTCAGAGCTTAAATTTAATTAGTCTGTAGTTATTCATCAAACAAACCTCTTTAGAATTATCGTTTTTGTTCTAAAACCATAAACAAAATTTCAAAATATTTATTAATTATTTATCACTAAAATCATCATGTAAGTTTATCTTTGTATACCCGATAAGTAAATACATCAANAAAATCATCATGTAAGTTTATCTTTGTATACCCGATAAGTAAATACATCAAAATAAATAAAAACATGTAAATAACTCAATTACAGATAACTAATATAAAACAAAGGTTATTGTGATATTCATAAAAACAAAATACCTGTATTTAAATTTAATTTTGTAGACATTTTTTAAAATATATAAAACTTACAACGTTTACTTGCTTGTGTAATAAATCTTCATATCCATATTTTTTTAATATTCGCATAAATCTTTGAACATTTGAATGATCTTGTTCTTGAAAGTAAAAATATAAAAATACTATTATAACGACTAGATTTTAATAAATCAAATTAAGTGATGATATGATATTATACATCTATTAATTGCTGTTTATTAAATAATAAGCTCGCAAAATATTTTTACTAGACATTTTTCAAACATTTAATAACCGCATAAAAATAATTTTAGTATTACAATAACTGTTATGACAGTTATTGTAATATTAAATGTTTGAAAAACTTCTAGTGAAAATATTTTTTTAAATGATTTTTTTTAATAAATAAAAAATAATCTATATTAGCAATAATTATTATTAATAAATTGTCCTGATCCGAACTTAGCAGTTAATGGACCGTAAAAAATATAATTTACCCCTGCCGTGGAATAATGAAAGGTAAGGGATGATAATGATGAATATAATGACAAATTTAAGATATAAATTGAAGGAGGTAGTCAATTTTCTCATTATATTTACTCACCTCTCCCATTAATAAATACCGAGTAAACCATCGAAATTTCTCCAAAACGGTAAATAATAATAACAATAATAAATTTATATTAACATTTAAACTGTAAATTATTAATTTTAAAACCGTGTTTTAATGAGTTTTACTTATAAATTAATTGTGTGTATCGTATTGATAGTACAGAGTCTCATATAAAAATAAAAATTTTAGTATCAGGGATTCATGAGAATCACTATTGAATTCTTTAATTTAAAATAATATTGTCAGCCGCTTGAAAATCGCTAGCGATAAGTTGGAAAACATCTCGAAATACTTTAATGCATTAGTTCTTATAAATCCCTGGTACTAAATTTTAATATTTTTATTATGATATTCTTCTCGAAAATACCGATGTAAAAATTGATAATGAAAACTGTTGCACAGTTTCATAAATTCCTGATACGAAATTTTAACTTTGGAACAGTGTCCAAAGCACAGTCCGTCGTGGAGGTCATCCAACACTGCATGAATTATATGTCGGCGTGCACTATAACTATAGACATCTTTTGCACAGTCGCCTAGCTGCATTCGCGCACTGGAGACTAATCTGTACAGTTAACGTGATTAGTAACCGCCACGAGCCGCTGCTTGGACACCACATACCTTAAAGGTATCCAATGTTACACAAGAGGAGGTTGCACGGAGAAATGATAGGATGGAAAACTTCTTTGATAAAAATAATTCCTTGTTTGAGATAGGATTTTGAAATCGGTAGTAAAAAATGTATTTATGTCTATCTCCCTGTGAAAAGTCCTGAACAGTGTACACGGTAAAAATAATTTCAACTTTACTTGCGAGGTCAAACATCAATAGGATTTTTCCTACTTCAAGTAAATCGTTTTCAAAACCTAATTTGTTTAATACTTCTTGGATTTCTTTAACTAAATTTGCACCAACAGATCCTTTTTTCATTATATTTATCGCTCTTTCAGTATGCTGCATATTAAAAAAATTATAACACATTGTACAAAATAAATTGTGCTTATGTAAATAAATACATTTTTTTATGAAATAATATATGAGATCATAATAATAACAACAGTATAAAAATTTCACGTATAACTTATATTTTAATTTAACTATATTATAGTTTCTATAAAGGCAATATAAAGGGTTAATCGTTAGCTTGTTATAAATTTTAACATTAAAAAATAATTGGGAAGAATTGATAATTTATTTAAAAATATAAACCCCGTTTGAACAGTTTTGAGTTTCTCTTAACATTTATTAAAAATATACCACAAAAACTTTCTTCACTATAAAAAAACAAATATATTTCATTAAGTTTTCTCAAATACAATAATTTTTACTTTGGCCTTTAAACGTAATTTATGATATTGAAAATTATTTTGCTAAATTAATTAAAAATATATAATTTCTTATTGAATAATTTAATAATTTTTATTGAAAATATTTAGAAAAAATAAAAGTTTTAACTATTATAAAACTATATTAAGTTTTGAGTTTTTTAGGAATAGTTTGAGTTATTAAATGTAACATTATTTTTATAACGTTTATATTTATATAATGAATATGTACATTTGCTTTACAAATTGACAGACATTACCTCGTTCAAGTGTGCGATTGCATTTTTTAATAAGATATTAAATAAAATTAAAAAAATAAGAGATATAATATTACTTAGGTACATTTCAATTACTGTTTAACCATAAAAAATATTGAAAATAAAAATAACTGTATTTAGTTTATAGAAAATTTACTATATAGTGTTGATAGATATTGAACGTTTTATAAAATTTCGTAATAATATTTAGTGAACTCAGCTGGCTTTTGAGAAATTTATTTTTCACAGTAAATAATTATTATTTACTGTATACCTGTGCATTATAAATGGGAGTAGAAGTATCATTAATTAAATATGATACTTTTACGCCCATTTAATACATATACTACATAGGGGACGTTAACAGTTGTTGTTATCGTTCAATTGATTACTTTGATTGTTTATCAACCGGGGGCATAATTTTAAATTATGCTAAACAAGGGCAAACTTTTGAGCCGTTTGCAAATTGTCTCCCATAATTAAACCACTAAACTAGTTTTGTATAAAAAAAAATTGAATAAATAACTTATAGATTTTTTAGTTTTTATTTACAATTTTAACATAAAAATGTATTTTTTTTAACCGTATTGCTATTTTGTAGACATTTGGCATATTATTTTATTCGTTAAAAATAATAATACTTCACAGTAAAGTTATTGTACAAATCATAAAATCGTTTCATTTTTAATCAAGTGATAATTGATAACAAAAGAATTGATTATCTGTGATTAATATTAACACAGTGATATCAAATTTTTG